AATGAAATATAGTCTTGTCACTAATCGTGGTGGTACAATTAATGATAAGAGCAAATACATTTCCAGAATCATGTAATTTTAAATAGAACTTCCTTGAACCTTGAAAATATTTTTTTTTTTAACTTAAAGACAAAATCATTATGGTCCTAGCAGTAATAATGTCAGTCAACCACTTCTCACCAATTCATTTCAAAATTGGTTCTCAAATATTCGTTATTATGTTCACAGGTTTTGAAGACACTGTACACATTATGTATCCTACTTTGGAATTACAGTCTTTCCTATAGGACCTGCATATAAGTAGGCATATGTATATCTTTCTTAAAATTATAATGTTTCTAAATGGAAACAGTCCATAAAAATGCAACCAGTTCCAGTAATGATAGAAATCTAATTCATCCTCTTTTTATTAATTGCCTCTCACTCTGCCTGAGAAAAAGGGAGGTTGATGGATCTAAGGGACGATTTTAAAGTTTAAAACCATGGGAAAATGCTGAGAAGATCCAACAGAGCCAGGTCAGTTGCAATTTGGAGGGGAAAGGGCTGCTTGGCACAGAAATGCCCTGAATGACTTGGAAAGCATTGTGGGTATATGGGGAAAGCACTGTGGGTATATTTCTGTTTTCATTACTTTTTTCTTTTAAATCAGACTTCTCAGAATTTTGTCTTATTTATCTTTTCAAAGAATTATTTATTTATTTATTTTGTATTATTTTTTAAAATTTTTTAAAGAGATAGAGTCTCACTCTGTCGCCCAGGCTGGAGTGCAGTGGCGCAATCTCGGCTCACTGCAAGCTCCGCCTCCCAGGTTCATGCCATTCTCCTGCCTCAACCTCCCAAGTAGCTGGGACTACAGGTGCCCGCCACCATGCCTGGCTACTTTGTATTTTTAGTAGAGACGGGGTTTCACCGTGTTAGCCAGGATGGTCTCCATCTCCTGAACTTGTGATCCGCCCGCCTCGGCCTCCCAAAGTGCTGGGATTACAGGCGTGAACCACCGCACCTGGCCAAAAATTTTATTTTCGGTTCATCATCTGTCTGCTTTATTCTCCTTGTCACTGATTTCTCTTGTTATCTTTTTTTTTCTCCCCTCTCATTTCTTTACGCTGGGATTCTTTTTCCAATTTATCAAATTGAATGCTTTGCTTATTTGCACACAATCATTTTTCCCTTGATAAATGAATTTACAGTCCTAAATCGTTCTACGAATACCACGTTAGCAGTGTCTTGAAAACACTAATAAGTAGCATTTTCAGTTCTAAGAACTGAAAGTTTCTCTTTTGATTTCTTTTTATGTAGTGAGTTATTTGGCACTGTCAACAGGGTGTTAAAATTGAAACTTTCCTATCTCCCAAGTTGACTGGGGCCTTAAAGCTTAAAGCAACAGATGCTGATCATACCTAGATTATTACAACAAGTGTTCAGGGCCGTTTCAACTACTCATAAATACTCTAACTGGGAAGGTAAATGTTGCAATATCGAGGAAGCTGAAACTGCATATATATTCTGCAACACAGAAGAGCAGAGGAAGTTTGCTGCATTTTTTAAAATAATAGAATATTAGAAATTAATATCGAAATGGAGAAATAATTTATAGCATATGTATGATGCAATATTCTATAACAAAAATTATTAAAAACCCACATCTATCAATATGAATGAATTTCAAAAACACAATGCTGAGTGAAATGGCAAGTTCCAAAATATATGCATTATATAACACAGGCGAAAACAAAAATACAAGTTGAGTATCCCTTCTCCAAACAGCTTGGGACCAGAAGTGTCTCAGATTTTTGTTTTCTTAGGATTTTGGAATACTTGCATTACACTCACCAGCTGAGCATCCCAAATGCAAATATCTGAAATCCAAAATGTTCCAATAAGCACTTCCTTTGAGCATCACGTCAGCACTTTAGAAGTTTTGGATTTTGGAGCATCTCAGATTACAGATTTTCCAATTAGAAAGACTCCAACTTGTACAAAACAAAACAAAACCATAAAACAATGTTTTTTGTTTGTTTGTTTGTTTGTTTGTTTTTTCCCCAAGATGGAGTCTTGCTTGTTGCCCAGGCTGGAGTGCAGTGGCACTATCTCAGCTCATGGCTAGCTCCGCCTCCCGGGTTCACGCCATTCTCCTGCCTCAGCCTCTCAAGTAGCTGGGACTACAGGCGCCCACCACCATGCCCGGCTAATTTTTTGTATTTTTAGTAGAGACGGGGTTTCACTGTGTTAGTCAGGATGGTCTTGATCTCCTGACCTCGTGATCCGCCCGCCTTGACCTCCCAATGTGCTGGGATTACAGGTGTGAGCCACTGCGCCCAGCCTAAAACAATATTTTTTCCACTACTTTATGTCGTTTATGGCTTGAAAGAAAGACATAATGCAAATATAGAAAAACAACGACATAATAAATCAAGGTGGTTGGTACATGATGGCCTTCTATATAATTTTTACGCTCATTTTGATTAGAACATAGTTTATATATGTTTAATAATTTTAAACTGAAGTTTACCACCATTATATTTTGTTTCAATCTCTTCTTTTAAAGAAAAAAATGCTTAAACATTAATTCTCAGTCATATTTACTTCTGGGTAAGTGTGCAGTTGTATATTTAATGTGCATGCATAGTACCCCTATATTGTAGGATTTTTCACTTTACAAATGTAAAAGAGAAATAGAAACCAAAGTAAACCTCTGTGGCTCTGGTATGCTGACTTTGTATGGTCCCTTTGGGAAGATAGTGTAGGACAACGGAAAAAGCATGGAGTCAGAAGTCAAGCCGACCTCAGGTCAAACCACACTTGTCATCTGAAGTGACCTAAGATAAATATTTTACCCTCTAGGAGCCTCAGTTTACTTATCTGTTAAGCAACGGCTAAATTTCAAAATTGTTGAAAGATTATTTAATTACGATACAAAGCAAGTGGGAAGTATTCCATCAATACTAGTTATTACTAACATTGTTAGTTATTTCCACAACTGCAATTATACCTATTTGTGTCAGAGATGATGTCTGAAGGAAATAAAAAGATATTCTAAGAAATAAATGGACATAATAAGTTTAATAGCTAAAGAATTAATTAAAAAGTTGAGGTAAGGCATCTAGTTTAGTTTTATTTTTAAGTGATTTAACACAGTTTTAATATGCTTGTGTCTTTTCTGAGGCAGGAATTCACACTGAACCTAGTGGAGATGACTTGTCTTTGTTGCATGATGTCTGGAGATTCAGTTGGAGAAGTCTATAGGCTATGAGTGAATGTTTGAATGTCCCTTTGCTTGTTTTCAAAGTAATTTTTCAGGTTTTTTTTTTTTAAGTGTCTACTACTCTAGGGCATTTTAGAATTAAAGTAGTATAAATGACTGTGAAAACTTATAACTGTCAATTGAAGATCAACCAAAAATTAAGAGAAATCCCTAAAAGGATAATATAACTCAAACAAACAGAAAGAGTTGATTTTGACATCTGGTTTTAAGAACCTGGCTATTATGTAAAGTGGCAAATTTATTTGTGATTCGTGGGAAGAATATTTACTATCTTATATATAATTATTTTATTTATCATGATATGTACATCAGTATGTTACATATAGAAAAATCAGGACCTAGAAAACTAGATTGAGCTCATATTTGCTTTGTGGAAACAGACTACATACATGTACAACTAAAATACTCATCTGGTTTGTCTAGGCTTAATTTTATTTCTGTAGCTAATTAAAACTCTAATTTTCCAATAAGTCTGCCCACAGATAAATGGCCACTTTTTTAGCCATCCGTGGGTGGCTGACTCACCCTGGTTCGCAAGCCTCAATTCTGTATAAAAAGGAAATGGAAAAACATCCTGAATTGTAAGCAATCAAAATGCCATCAGAAACTAACAACACAGTTTAATTAAAAAGAAAAATCCATAGTAATTCATTTTTGTTCCTTTCCCCTCTTCACACAAGAAAATAAGAAGTAATACAGAGAAGCAATTAAATGCAGTCTCCTTTTGCCCTCAGGGTGTGTGCCTCGAAACTTTGCCAATGAAATAATTAGCTCCAAATTTCTCATTTTTTTCCCCCTTCGTAATATTGAAATTGCTTCTGGTCTTCCTTCAGAAACAAAGCACTTCCTTTGCCTCTTTAGTTAACCCTAGGCTTCTAAGAATCTTCAGTAATCTCATTATTCTATCAAAAGGCTAAGGCTGTGTGGTTACAAGGCCATTGTCACTATTTGATTAAGATCCGAGGTAAACTGAAAACCAGTCTAATTTCATGAACACACTGGATTTGTATAACCTCTGAGATGGACTGATTGGCCTGAAATTAAAGAGTAGGAGCTCATGAATGTATCTGTCACCAGGAAAGATGATAGGAAGGTGGATTCACTGAGCACGAAGGCATCGACACTGCTGTGGAACTTCAGCATGCATCCTACACTCTCACCATGATCAGACCTCAGAAGAAAGCACATGTATTGTTCTGATCTACGAACAAATGCTTTACTGCTTACCCACAGAGACTGCAATCACAACATGGTCAGCACGCAGCTTTAGCCAACAAAACCACGTAGCAATATTGGGTAGAGCACAAGTGCACAGGCTCAGGACTGAGGACCAATGAAACAGCAAGATAACGTGTTCACAAATGAAAAACCACGTGTCACTTTCAAGCTACTCATGATCACTCTCATGCATGTCTTTATGATGTGGCAAACAGGGACGTCTGAAAAACGCTAGACTCCAGTAAAGAAGACCCTGGTGAGGTTTAAAGTATGGGGAGGTCCACATGCAAAGGGTTCAAGGTGGCTCAGGAGCAAGAGAAGGTGGAGCTCCAGGAAGAGTCTGTGGTAGATAAAAGTGAGCAAGTTGCATGGAATGTCAAACACAGAGTAGCACCTGCACGAGACAGCCTGAACGCCATTGAAAAGAGAATCCTGCCCATTGGTGCACAGCCCACAGTACATCCTCTCCCAGCAATCACAGTGGCACAGAGGAAAAGAACAGCGAGAGGACTCTTACTGTAGCACGCGGGAGTGGCTGAGATCTTTCAGATCTGAGTCCTCATAATAGGGAGCTATCATCCCCAGCCCACTGTCACTCAGCATGCGTTTCCGCAGGGCAGGATTCCACCAGTCTGAGATCCTGAGAGAAAGAAGGGCACCAGACAGTTAAGCATTCAAAGTCAGCCACGTGACTTCATCTCCACTTTCTGAAGATGAATCTTGCCTGTAAATGTGAGAGGCAAAATTCATCTTTATGGAATGTTTACCAGATACTACATATTTATTATTTCATTCACTTATCTCAACAATCATGAACTATTTGTATGATTCTGTCCCCTTTACAGATGAGAAAACTGATTTTCAAGATTAAGTCATTTTAAATGTGACATGAATAAGAAGTAATAGACCTAGTGTGGAAATGCAGATTAGAAAATAACAAAGTCCATCCTGTTTCACTGCTTCCCTGATCCTGGTTTAGTTCTGGGGAGGCAACTGGCGAGAAATAAGAAAGGCACTGACTCAAGTCCTGGTGGATTTTCAGGCTCCTTTATTTTTGGAGCTAGAGCTAACAGAGGTCTAGCCAGGCCAAAGCAATTCCTTTTGGCCATTATTTGACATGAAGAAAACGACCATACAAAAAATTAGCCGGGCATGGTGGCGGGCGCCTGTAGTCCCAGCTACCCGGGAGGCTGAGGCAGGAGAATGGCGTGAACCCAGGAGGCGGAGCTTGCAGTGAGCCGAGATTGCGCCACTGCACTCCAGCCTGGGCGACAGAGCGAGACTCCGTCTCAAAAAAAAAAAAAAGAAAGAAAGAAAACGAAAAAGAAAAAGAGAATGACCAAGTGAGCAAAGACCAGGGCAATTTGGCAGAATGGACTTTCTCCTTACTAGATCAAGAGCCAGAAGCCAGGTTAGGTGGGCTAACCTGGCTCTAGCACCTGCTGCTTCTGCAGTAGGATAGAACATTCTACCTTCTTTCCCCACTACTGATGAGTCTGACGCATGGATGTGCCCTGCGAAGGTGGCCTTCCCCACCACCTTTGGAGCTCCCAGGGGTGCATCAGGCTACCCCTTGTGCCTGTCAGCCTTCCCTCATGCTCTGACATCGCGGCTCTAGCTTCCTGAGAACAGCTTTCTATCTGTTCTACACAGCCACTTGTGGCCTCTCTTGTCTCCCCCCAGACTTGGTACCTACTGGACATCAACTGCCCCTGGCAGAGTGAGAAACCACTCACAAATAGCAGCAGTGAAGCAAAAAAGTGAAAAAAAAGTAAATCAAGTGACAAGGGGAAAACAGGGATGAAGATGACATTGCAGTTGTGCTAGCCTAGTGGCCTGTTTATTCATACTGTATGATGATGTGTATACCATTTGCATTAACTATCTGGGTACATTGTGTATGGTTTCTAGAGCAATTCTTATTTCAATAATTCAGGCCCCATAGACCAGTAAAACACTAAATTTCACAAGGGCAAATATTCTTATCTGTTTTTATTTTTGTACTGTTATTCCCCAAGTGCTGACACTAAGACCTGGCACACAAAATTCTCCAAATAAATAGTTTTGAATTACTGAAATAACTTAGAAATATTAATTATGTTTTGGTGGTGGAAGATGGTCATTAAATGCATGGGCTCTGGCATCAGGCAGCCCAGGACTGTATCTCATTTTTTCTACTTATTTTCTGTGAAATACTAGGCAAGTAACATGACGCTTTAGGTCTCAATTTTTTAATCTATGAATTAAGAATAATTGTTCCAAATTTTCAAGGTCACTGTGGAATGATGATGATGATTACTATTATTATAACATTCTATTTAATGCGTGTTTTAAAAATGCCAGGAATGACTTTAAGTGCTTTATCTGTATCAATTCTTTTAATCACCAAACAATTCTCTGAGTGAGGATTATTATTATTTGTATTTTACAGATGAGAAAATAAGCACAGAGCACTTAAGATGATTAAGTCACTATGAAGTGGTGGTAGAAATAGAAGAGAGACACAGGACAGAGCTCCTAAAAAGTGCTTGGTACATGATAGTTACTATACAATCTACATGTCTCCGGCAGCCTGGAAATAGCAAAGAGGAGGAAGAGGAGAAAAACTGTCAAATCACCTGTGTCAATTTTTAATGTAGATAACAGAGTTACTACAAACGTGTAAGCACAAACACAAGTACTAGTGTTTTCTAGGTTTGTTAGGAAGAGTTGCTGTGATGGAGAAAGAAGGCTTGGACATGGTGCAAATCTGGTTTTGTGTTTCTACATGGTCATTCATAAGACAGACTTATAATAACCACTCTAAGGAAATCCAACAAGAAAATCTACATTTAAAAATCATTTGATGTCATTAGAATGATGTCAAGTTCAAAGGCGAACCAGACATGGATGTCACCCTGAGGCCAGCCTCACAGGCAAGGAGAGACACACTCACCCCGAGGCTTGCTCCACCACCAGGTCAGGCATGCCCGGAGGTGTCCCCGCTGGCTGTGACACCACCATATCTGGGTCCAGAATAAAAATCTCATCTTGGGAAATCTCCATCACAAAGTGCAAATGTTCCTAAGGAAGAACAAGAAGTCTGTTGCATGAAGAATAACAAAACAAGTATTCTTGATCTCGAGGAATAATGAAATTCTCCAACATGTCAAAGGATCACAGTGTGTTGTCAGAGCTTGATCAGTTGGTGATCCTCCCCAAAGCTGCGCTATGGCAGGCAGTGGGAGATGGGGAGAGATGAATCCCCTAGGTTCAGGATTTCCAATTAATCAGGATTTTTTTTAGGTATATCTAGAAATGGTCTTGCCTCATCTTCCCAAATACTACTAGAGAAGTGACACCCACATACCATTGACCCAGTGAGAGTGTGTGATAGCCTGGACTTCCACCCCATCATCTGGTCAAAGCTAAGCAGCATGGTTAACATCTTTATCATTAGGTTCAATACTGTACATGTTTTTTCTAGGATAATTCAGATAATGGGAGGACTTCTTAACTTGGGCAAAACCATATTTTTTTCTCATCGCTGACCTCTAGGGATTGGCGAACTGAAACTAAGTAGTCTAGTTATATACTTGGGACCTCAAACTTCCTAAACAGAAATGAGCTTAAAAAGACATACAAAATTTGGCTAAGAAGGAGTAAAAATATCTTTGTGAATGAAAATTTGCAGTATAGGCTGGTGATAATGTCTACAAGTCAACTTATTTCCTGTACTCATTTGCAAGATCAAGCCATACCATCTTGAGTCCATAAATCATAAAACATGTGAAGATAAATAAAAGATTCATAGCTTAGGTTATGAACACCATTCCAAAATTTGTAAGTGTCTCAGTGTCTTTTGTTAGAAAAATTTATGAGATTAGCTACCAATAAAGTACATTAACTTGGGAATTTTTCACTTTTACAAGCAGGTTGGAAAAAAAACTTACCTGAGATCTGTCTATTCGATAAAAGCGATCAGCAGAAGTTGCTAGGGGGAAAAAAAATGCAGATGGCATTCAGAATGTTCTGTAATCTGGCATCAAATTTACAACCTTCTCTTCGACTAAGCCGGTCAAAACCCCTACATGATGGTCGTGCTAGTCTCCTGGCCAGTCCCTAAATCTATTAAGAAAACTTCAGCACTTCCATGCCTCTGCCACTGCTATCCTAAGGCTTAGAAAGCCCTGGCCATTGCCTCTGCCATCTAAATCAAACTTGTCTTTAAAGAACCAGCTCAAATGCTTGTGCTTCTGTAAAACCTTTCTCAGTCCCAACCTCCCTACCCCAGACAGAATGTATTGACCCTGCCTCCATGCACATTTACATTTTTTAAAACTTCTTATACAGACTATCTTCACAGATAACCATGAGACTAAGAGACTTTGCCTCTTTAAAAATCTGTTTCATTTAATCTTTTATGCCACCTGAAATTAGCACAGGATCTTAAAGAAAGTCAGGAATTGCTATGTATTTATTAAGTAAATAAAGCTAGAAAAAGCTACGGTTACGTAGACTTCTGAGGGAAGTGACTGCCCATTTTGGAAAACGGCTTGAAGATTCAGGCCAGGGACCATATGTGGTCTTAAATGAATCATTTCACTTTCAACCTGCATCCTTGGAGCCATGTCTGAAGGAAGCCAAAACAGCAAAAAAAATTATTTAAGCATTCTCTAAAAGAGATTGAGCTGCATCTATGGTATGAGAAAAGAAAAAAACAAAAACCCTAAATTAGAAATTTTGGGTTTCTAGAAATTATTTTAAATATTCTTAATATTAGAAAGAACTATCAGCTGCACTTCAGGAAGCTCAGGTGGGAGAACTGCTTGAAGCCAGGAGTCTCAGACCAGCCTGGGCAACAAAGCAAGACTTCATCTCTACAAAAACAATTTTGTTTTAATTAGCTGGGGATAGTGGCATGCCCCTGTGGTCCCAGGTACTTGGGAGGCTGAGGTGGGAGCATTGCCTGAGCCCAGCAGTTCAAGGTTGCAGTGAACCATGATCATGCCACTGCACTCCAGCCTGGGCAACAGAGTAAGACACCCATCTCAAAAAAAAAAAAAAAATCAAACCAAAAATGACGTGCTTCTCACTTACATCTATCTAACAAAACCCAAATATTATAAATAGATTTTCTACAAAACAAACAGCACAAGAAAGAAAAACTCAAAATGCTAGTAATTATTTTAAATTCACAAACACTTAATGAGTAGCTTCTCTCCAAAGGGGACTGAACTAAGAAACCAGCCAATCATCGTCCCTGCTCTCTAAAATCTAAGAATAGAATAAAATCTGCCTTGGAGAAATTCACTCTATTTTGTTCTTTTAAACCATGACTGCAATTACCTTTCAAAGGTTTTTTTAATAAACCTATGGAGTGAAACTACATCTGGGTTAAGACTGTTAGCCACAACAGTTGTAGTTTTATCTAAGACTTTAGATAGAACATAACACAAATATTTTCATAATTTTCTGAAATACATGTTGTTCCTCTGCAAATTCAGGAATGACAAATGATTATGTTTCTCATTGCTATGGAATAAAGAAGCTGGAGGAAAGTCCTCAGAGGCAGCTGACGAGACATTAACAAAAACTTGCGTCATGATTTATGTGGGTTAGATCTCATATAAATACAAGTGGCCATCTTCATAACACTAGAAAAATATGCCTATGGCATTTAAAGTGTTCTGTGATCTGGCACCAAAGTTATAACCTTCTCTTCCACTATGCCAGTTAAAAACCCTTACATTGCAGTCATGCTAGGCTACTGGACAGTCCTTAAATCTTAATAGATCTCTGCTGCTGCCATCCTAACGCTTGCTCATACACTCACAAATCCTGTCATACTCATATTCACGTTTATATCCTCTCAGATGCTCACCCAGATAAACAAAAACGAGGTCTACAATGAAAACCGTGTCTCCATATTAACAAGAGAGAGAATGAGTAGTAGATACACTGGGTAGTATGTAAGCATGAATATACAGAGGTGAGAAGGTATGCAATATGGGTAATTGGATAGAAATGTAATATCAGGCAACATCTAGGAGACAGATATTTGAGATAAAAGCAGACTCATTAAACAACCATAAAATAACTAACATGTTATGCATGCAATATGTCATGCTGATCCAAGCAGATGTGAATGCAACTGAATTTTTCTACCTTTCTCCAGAAATGTATACATCATACTGCAATAATGGTCTCATAAAAATAATATGAATGTTCCATAAGATGCAAACAACATAGAAATTAGTATCCATCCTGTGCTTATAGAATCCAGCTACTGGTCTGAATTAATTTAAGGCAGGCAGTCGAGTTTTAAGAAACGAGGGCTGATGAAAAGGAAACATCAGTCTGAGCAACTTGATGCTGAGTTCAGCCAGAGTTAACCAAGCTGTGTTGAGGGAAATAGTTGCAGGAAAGGACAGTGCAACATTAGTAGGCCCACATTGTTCCGCACGCAAAAACCAGCCATGTGGAGTGACAAGAAAGCTTTCTGAATAATCTTTTGGAAAACTAGAGTCCCCCCTATCAATTGATGCCTTGCTCTTCAACTTCCCCAACTCCCATGATACCCACAAGAAATGCAGAACTCACCATCTAGGAAGCACCACCGAGGGGAGAGCCTCTGTGCTGAGAGAGCCCTGGGGAAGGAGGTTTCATGGTCCTGGAAAGAGACACACACATTCTAGTGGCTCCATTTCAATAACCTGATTGGCTTCCCTCACTCAGCATTCTGCCATCCTTTCCTACACAAAGCACTGGTGAGAAGACCAAATCACATTTTGTTTTCTCTAGGAACAGAAAGAAGGGCTCTGCTTTGAAATTCTTTCACATAGAAATTTTAAAAATAACTCCCTCATAAAATTACCAGGAGGTTTTCAATTATTCCATTAAATATTTTCTATTTTCCATTAAACATAAATAATCTATTTTAGGACATTTACTTCTTATGAGAATTTCTTTCTTTCCCTTTGTGAAGCCAAGGAACGAGTGACAGCTGGCTGTCATTGACACCTAGGTCTAAGGCACTGGCACAGAATGAGAATGAATCAAACATTGTCTACTGGCCACATGGGACATACAGTACGTGAGAAAAAGCAGCAGCGATCCATACACAGGGGCTGTTCATCTACATGGAAACAAAATCAACCTCGCACCTTGAGGTCATCTCTAACCTCAGCCTTCTCCACTGAACCCAGTTACAGAGGAGTAGACAAGGAAGAAAAGTAGTGCCAGGTTAACCCATGACAAAATCACTCTGTCCAACACTCACCCAAACTGCAACGTGCTCATTCACCTGAGCATTTTCTAGGCGTCTCACGTCTGTGACCTCCCAATTACCCCTCCCTATTTAACATCAAGTCTGCCTGACGTAACTGCCATCATTCTTTCCTCTGGGTTTGGATAAAAATATGTCTTTTCTCTTCAAAGCAAATCACTTAATTTAGACTCTAGACTATCTTTCTTTCTCCTTTGAACTTTATTTCTGTAGCATTATTAAAATCCACTCATTAATTCTCCTGCTCTCAATAGTTCCCTCTCTTCCAAAATATATTTCCCTCAGCTGATCTTGTTATATCTACTTTTTATTGCTATTTTATTTATATTTTCTTTTTTGAGACAGGGTCTCACTCTGTCTTCCAGGCTGGAGTGCAGTGGTGTGATCATGGCAGTGCAGTGGTGTGACCATGGCTCACCATAGCCTTGGTTTCCTGGCCTCAGGTGATCCTCCAGCCTCAGTCTCCCAAGTAGCTGAAACTGAAGTTGATATATCTTTTGAAAATCTTCTTAAACTCTCCTTTCTTGCCCTTCCAAACTCCTGAAGCTTATGTTTATTATCTCCTGCTCCAAGTCTCACTTACACGCCTCAGACATGACCTCTAGAAGCCTGGCCTCTGACTTCCCAGGCTTCAAAAAACTGCCCTTTCAAGAGATTGCCAGGACTGGCTTGCTTCCCTGATTTACTACAATTCTCAGTTCCCAAACTTCCTTGAAGTCTCAGAAGCTTTTATTTCTTATAAAGAATTAAGGCTATATCCACGAAACAGAAGAGAGAACTGGCAGATTGAAAACTGAAAGGATTTTCTCTCTCAGATTACAAACTTTTAAAAATTAAACATTTTCTCTACTAAGAGAAGCCTGCCAATGATAACTGGGGAGGAAGGAGAGCACCTTCTAGTTTACAACACGTGATTTGGAGCATTCTAGCCCTGGTTTGCAGTGGAATTGAAATCACTGACAGAAATGGGACAAATGAGGGAGGCCAGGTCTCTGAGGGGAAGACACTGGGAGTCTGGCCCTTATTAGGGATTTGAAATGTTCAAATGTAGGGAGCAACATTGGGGTGCGACTGTGCAGGCAGCAATAAAGACGTGGCAGCTGAAGCTGCAGGTGTGGATGATCTTGTGTGTACAGAGGGGACAGGAGAAGAAAACAGGAATAACACAGAAGAAGTAATAAGGACCCAATCAGAGGTTGTACTGACTTTCTTGGTAGTTACTCAACACTCCCTGCTGCCCTACTTGATCCTCAAATAAAGCCTGGGCTTAAATCACTTGTTCTCAAAGTGTGCATCAGCTGGAAACTTGTCAGAAGCACAAATTTCCAGGGCCCATCCCAGGTCTACAGAAGCACTACGGGTGGAAGCCAGTAATGTGTTTTAACAAGCCTTTCAGATGAGTCTGAGGATGTATGTGAAAGAACCTAACATTACCAAACAAAAGAGAGGTATCTTAGTAAACTAGAAACCTTGAGTGTATGGAGTTTTACTCTAAATGAATTCTGTGAATTAAATAATTGATAGAGGAAAAACTGGTCTCATTCAGGAATGCTACCAAAATCTGTATTTATAAATATAAAATATACCCATATAGCTATGGATACAGAGATACTATGTAATATATATAGAAAAAATATATGTTACATATAGTCTCTCTCTCACTCTATTATATATATATATATATTCTATATATACGTGTATATATATTCCTCTTTTTTGAACTGAATTTTCATCCTGATTGTTGAGCTAAATGAAATCTTGACATGTGCTTAGTAACTATTTATATGAGAATTATGTGTAACATTTTGAGAATTATATTTTGACATGTGTGACATCTTGTTTTAAAGGAACTTAAGGTACTTAATGCATTTTTGTAAAACAGATAAAGCTGCTGATGTCTCTCAGTTGGGTGAGAAATGTAATTATCGACCAATAAATTTGGAAGTGATTCAAAATATTTAGTGGCAACTATGAAAGCTAATAAATAAAGAGATTAAACAGAAACAGGATTATCTTCTCTATGAATAAAGGAGCTAAAACACAAGGACCCTTTCTGCATTTTGATGTTGAATATGCTGCAGAGGACACTATAAAAACATATCCTAATTTCCCTAGGTAAAAATCATACAGGAATGCCTGATTTATCATTTTAAAAACCTAAGGATCCATCACACTATCTCTAGGCTATTCTAACTACAGAAAATTGGATGTTATTTAGTCTAGGTTAATAAAATCCAGATTGAGGCACTGCCTCAGCAACATGACTACCACAGGTTGGTAAGGAAATACAGATGGTGTGTATCTTTTTATGTGCAGGTGGCTGTGTGTCTGGAGAGTTTTATGCCCATACCTGACTTTATTAATGTAGTTCGCTTTTGTTCACTTATTTACTCAACATTTTGATCCATGGATGGAAACTGCAAAAATGTTTGACCTACAGAAACATCTGATATAACTCAATGTTCTTAAAGAGGTTTTGTCTAATGATAACATTATAATTTTGTTTGGTGAAAACACATTGGTCGCCATAAAGCTCTTTAAAATACTTTAATGGGTCCTCAAACAGGTTCAACAATTCTTGAACTCTCCAAAATTGTACACTAGACTTGGTATGTCTGTGGGTATGTTCATTTTCCTGGACAGAAAAACCACTGCTTTCTAGATTATCAAAGTGATCTGAGATTCCCAAAATGCTAAAAAAAAAAAAAAAAAAAAAAAAAAAAGCTATTAATTTAAAGAATCAAAAATTTAGGTCAGAGGTAATTCAACAAAATAAGAAGATACTGATCAGTAAAATGCCTTATGAGAATAGGAATCACCGATTCAAAGTTACTGGTAATTGTAATACCAAAACAACAAACAACAAAAGCTCTCTGAGCTTGTAGCTATTCTCCTAGTAGCGGACTGAAACTAGGTCAATTTCTACATGGAAGAACTCAACTTTTTGCTTATTTCCATCCATGGTCTCTCCCAAGTGTTTGTTTTCAGTGCCTTAGGTTCTTCTACTTATGTTCGTTTTTATAAACAGACAGAGGAAAAATGTATTTATATTTGCCATTGGATGGTATTAATAATTGAAGTTAAACAATACATCATTAATTAAATCTGATTTTAAAAGACAATGTTACTTAAAATAATTGGATACTTTCCTGGTGACCTGAAGATTAAACTGCAATTTTGGGAGTTGTTAGAAAAGCAAAAGTAGAGCTCTAACTTCTCTGAAATGCTTCCCTGAAATAGATTTGCACCCTCTTCCAACTTTTTTGAAGCTCTTTCCACCTTGTTCGTTTTTAAAAAGTGAGTTCTTAAAGAAAAGCTACTCACATAATAGGTCCTATGTTAAAAGTCATTTGAATTCCAATGAAAAACTGTAATTACAATCTGGGTAGATTCATAATGCAATTAAACTACTTATTTAAAAATTCTACATATATAAAATGTACAAAAGCATCAAGTCTCAAAACAATTTGCTCTTGAATCTAGTCCATGTACATATCTATGCAGATGAAAATGCTTCACCTACATTGGACACTAGAAATTGGATATTTTTTTGAAGTCAGTGTTAAAATGATGTTCCAATGTAGCAGATTGACAATATGCAAAATATACCTACAAAATATGCCAGCAATCTGTAAAATAAGCAACAAGAAAATCCAGGTATGAAGCACAATTGGGTGCTGAAAATATATCTCAAAGATCCGAGAGAGAATAGGAGGTGAAGAGCAGGCTAGGGACAGAAAAGTTGGTGGTGGTTGAGGTGGCGGTGGTGGATGTTGGATTTCACTTGAGTTGAAAAACAGAGCAAAAAGATAGTGAGAAAGTCTGCTTCGCAAAACTGAAATTTTTGTAGGATGTGATCATCATTATCACAGACAAGCTAAGAATTGAGATGCCAAAAAATGTTCCTGTCCTTGAGGTGTTAAAATATCGTAGGGGAGACAGATCTGATGAATGAGATGGAAAAACAAGGCGAGAGATTGTATGTGATCCAGCCCCAATTAAGCAGCAAGCCCAGAGGCGGCGGAAGGCTGATGGGAAGCGCACCAGCTTTGAGAGGCACGACAATCCTGGCGCCCGACTCTCACCCGCTACTCGCTGTGAGAGTTTAGGATAGTTTCTTATCCAGTTCCTTGAATACCTCATTTTAAAATGGCTACAATAATATCTAACATAAGGGTTCTTTTGAGGAATTAATGACACATAAAATGCTTAACCCATTAGCGGAAACGTGTTTATGTGCAGATAGAATTATCCGAGAGATAATTATATCTCATGCTAGGCAGCTGAGACATTATTTTACCAAAACAATTCTGCCCTTAGTCATACGAGGGTCTCATGGGACACAGGCCACATTTCAGACCAGGTCATTTAGATGGTGCTACCCC